TCCATGCTTCCATGTATGTCTCTGGATCCACTCCATTCATCAGTTTATTTTGTTACTTAGATTCCACATATGACTGAGATCATGTGATACTTGTCTTTCTCTGACTTATTTCACTTAGCATGATATTCTCCAGGTCCCTTCATGCTGTCTCAAAGAGATTCTGCTTTTTCACTGCTGTATAGTATTCCATGGCATAAATGTACCACGGCTGTTCATCCAGGCACTTGTGCTGCTATAAACATAGGGGTGCATATATTCTTTCTGATTGGTGCTTTGGGTTTCTTAAGATATATTCCTAGAAGTGGGATCACTGGGTCAAATGGAAGTTTCATATTTAATTTTTTAAGAAAACTCCATGTTGTTTTCCATAATGGCTATCCCAGTCTGCATCCCCACTGGCAGTGTACTAGGGTTCCCTTTTCTCTACATCCTTGTCAGCACTTGTAGGAATCTATTTTTGTATAGATGCCATATCCTGGCTGTAATATATAATTCTAGAACTTGCCATGGAGGGATTAAGACTAGCTTTAAGCAGTCTGATTAAACCATTTGTGACCCTTCCTCTCTCCTTCCCTCCCTCCCTCTTTCTTTCTCTCCTTTCTTTCCCTTCCTTCATTCCTTCCTTCCTTTCACTCTTTTCTTTCCTTTCTCTCCTTTCCTTTATTTCCTTCCTTCTTTCTTCTTCCTTTCTTTCTCTTTCTTTCTCTCATTATTCTCAGTGTTATAGGCCACCTGGAGGAAATAAAGAGCTACAGATTACCAATTTTGAGGGTGATATTTGAGTATCTGAAATATTTAATTTTTTACTATAAGTGGGAAATTCTGAACATGATTATTTCTTGTCATATATATGCCTTTTCTGTTGAGGTCTGTGTGGGATTCATTTATGGCATGCATACGATTCAAATTCAACCCACAATAGAAAGAATCAATTTATCTGTCAAAACACAGCCTGGCCAGTTCCTCTGGGAAGCCTCCCTTGATTTCTCCTGGGCTGACTATCCTTGAAACTTTCTTTGTTATTATAATTCCAGTAGTTCCCAAACTGCTGCAATTTGGATTCTCCTGGGAATATTTTATTTAAAAAAAAAAAAAAAAAAAAAAAAAAAAAAAAAAAAAAAGCAAGCTCATGCTTGTTTTCTATTCCTAGACATTCTGGCATAACAGGTCTGAATAAAATCTATGCCATAGGATGGTTGAAAACTTCCCTGGTAATTCTAATATATAGCCAAGGCTGGGAACTATTGTTATATTTTAATCATTCATTTACTCTCTATTACACCAAACCTGTCAAGGCTAAGAAATTATACCACACACTGTCCGTGGCATGTAACACAATGCTTGGCATGTTATAGTCACTCAGCAAAAAGAAACCATCGAGGAGGTGAACATCCATTGTGCAGATATAGGAAAGTTCATAGTGGCGCAGGTGAAATCACCACAGCCTTCCTAAAAGTCCAGAGCCTTCACAATTGATGGCTTACAATAGCACATTTCCATTCATGGCAGCTATTCAGGAGAAGCTTTCTAGATTCATTCATTTATTATACATGGCGCTCATCCTTAGAAAAAGTCTTTTTCCAACTTTAGTGAAATGTTTTGGGATTTTTTGAGGCCTCCCTCCTCTGGGTATGTGTCTCAAGTTTCTTGGGTGTTAAGAGGCCCGCAGTTCTGCGTCTTATCTTTGCGAGGGTAAGATGCTGGGCTCCCTTGAGTACATGTGTTTGAAGTGGCATATTTATGGAAATTACCGCCCACTTTTGAAATTCAGGGCATAGCTCTGACAGCTGAATCCAGCCCTAACAATTCTATTTACAACTTCCCTAGTTGAGCTAGATTAGCTGTTCTACATGAGTGAGTAGGACATTGAAACACCTCCCCGCCCCCCCTCTACCACAAACACACTGCTTCCGCAGAGAACACTGCAGGATTGGTCATAGTGGTGGCCACATGGCTCTGTGGGCATTGGGGAAGCGCTTGGACAGAAGTGGAGTCACACAAGTAGAACCCATCCAGAAGCATTGGGGAACATCCGGGGAAGATTCAGTTATTGATTTCAGAAGTGTTAATTGACACAGCCTTTCTAGAAGTCAATTCATCAACATGCATTGAAAACTAACAAAATAATTGTTAAGTAACCACCACTTTTGAATGAATAATTCCACTTCTGAGAATTTGTCCTAAGGAAATAGAGATGTGCTGAGATTAGCTACAAAGATATTTATCCTAATGGAATGTTTTGGGGGGAAATATTTTTTGACAAGGAAATAAACTTCTGACAGAAAAAGTTAAGCAGACTAAGCCCCAAATGGAATCTATAGTACGTTTCCATTTTAGTAAACAAACAAACCCAAAACATTTGTATGTATAGAAAAAGGGCCTGGAAGGGGTATGCCAACATGATAACAGGGTTTCTCTCTGGGTGAAAAACTTGTGTATGAACTTGGATATGTGTGTGTGGTTTTTTTGTTGTTGTTAGTTTTTTTGTTTATTTGAACAAAGTGATATATTATTTTGTACTTTTAACAAGTACTGTTTTCTTCTTGATGTCATTATTACTTATTTGCTTTTGGTGAAGCTGATAAGTATGAGGAATGTTTTTGCCTTTACAGCCTAATAAGTGATCTGATAAGCTTTAGGGATAGCTCCTATGCCAACGCATCTGTAGAACATTTGATATAATTGTGCCAAGCTGTGCAGAGTAGGGGCTTTCTTCATTCCAGATACCTCTGGTCTAACCAATGAAGACTCTAATAGGGTTATCTACTAGACCCGTGCTAATATAATGAATTCATTCCAGGATTCTTTTGAATGATAAAAATTCAAAAATATAATAACAATTGATTCTGTTAAAAAGGGATACTTATTTTTTTTAAGTAAGCAAATGAGCATAGGAAAGCTATTTGATTTCCAGTTTTATAATTTCATGACTTAGAGGGGCACTTAGTGTTTGTAAAGGAAAGGAATTATTAATTCAAGGAATACTTGTCGATTATTTACCTATTATGTGTCAGGACCTCTTCTAGGCCTGGAACACAGTTGTAAACAACGTAGATAAGTGCTTTGGCCTCATTAAAACCCATCCTGGAGGGTGTGGCAGAGGTATAATATGAATATGCACACAAACTTTGTAAAGTTAGAGAGTTTTATAGAAATTAAAATAAATAATGGCTTGGAGTGAGGAATGGGGTAGGGCATTTTATTCAGAGACGTCTTCTCTGAGATTTTAAAACTTTGCTTTAAGATCTAAGAGGTGGGAATGAACCAGAGGCGTGAAAGTTTGAGAATTTCCATGTAGCAAATATTCATTTGCCTTAAGTTGGAATAAGAGCTTGTCCTATTCAAGAGATGGAATAGAAGCCAAATGTTTAGAGGTCAGTAAGTTAGGATTGTGGTCAGCAAACTGCAGTTTGTGAGCCACATGCAGCTCTTTGGCCCCTGAGTGTGGCTCTTCCACAAAATACCACGGCCTGGGCGAATCTATTTTGAAGAAGTGGCATTAGAAGAAGTTTAAGTTTAAAAAATTTGGCTCTCAAAAGAAATTTCAATCGTACTGTTGATATTTGGCTCTGTTGACTAATGAGTTTGCTAACCACTGAGTTAGGAGAATCATTGATATTGCTAATGGCCATATCATGGAGACCTTCATAGGACATAGCAAGGAGTTTGGCTTTGATCTAATTTGTGATTATCAAAGAGCTTTATAGCAGGTAAGTGAAAGGGATTGATTTTAACTTTTTGAAGAGTTATCTTACTGCTTGTTTGAAGAATGGAATCCGGCATAGAGAAGTAGATACTGAAGAGGATATTGCAGTAGTTGAGGTTAATTTGTAGCCTGGTGTGGTAGCAGGATTTCGAGATGAGGTTTGATTAAGTGTGTCTAGTGGCTGAGTTGACTCAACTTGCTGAAAGTTTGACTATAGGACAATTCAGTCAGCAGAATATCTACTGTAGGAGACTAGGGACAGTGAAACAACTGGAATTTTTATACTCTGAGAAATCTTCTGTTGTCAATTGATTCAGAGATCAGAAGATTCTAGAACATTTATTGATCACTTTATTACTTTTCCTATATCCATCAGACTTTATCAGCATTTTTGCCTATGATAGGAATAGGGCTGGGCTTTATTTGTACATAAAATATGTAGAGTAGGTATTATAGAATACTTAAGTTCTACGAATTCCTATTTCCCATAGAATTTGAGTGGTTAAACAATGAAATGGGGGAATTCCATCTTTATAAATCTGGACTAAAGATCAGCATGACTCTGTGCCATCATTAGTACAAAGCTGGGGTCCTTAAACACTAGCTGTACATTCACTCTCCTGGGGTTTTGTTAAAATGCAAATCTGATTCCATAGATTTGAGCTGGGGCCTGATACTATTTTTTCTACTAAGTTCTAAAGTCATGCTGATGCATCAGGGAGCCCTTTTTGAGTAGCGCAGGGCTTGCCAATATTATTAATGAAGATCGGTTATGGATGCATGCAAGAGGCCCTCCCCATGTGCTTGAAGAATGGCAACTTGGGGCATTTTCTTCATTTGTCCTCAGGAAACTTGCTTTTGGTTAAATGAACAACAGGCTCAAACGAGTTATTTCTGAAACTCTATCTCAATGAGAAGCTAGGGGAAAGGAAAGGGTAGAAAGAGCCTCGGGTTTGCTGTACACGACCTGACTCTGTTTTGGCTCTACCACTGCCCTGTTGATCTTGGACACGTCACTGCACACCTCTGACTGTTTCTCTTTAGGGTGAAATGGTGATAAAATTGTCTCTTTTGTAATGGGACAGAGAGACATACGGGGTTACTTTGCACAGTTGAGCACCCCATCAATGTCAGTGTCCCAGTGCTGTGCCTACAGTAGCCACTGGTTTCGTGGGCCTGTCTCTGCGGGTGTTGGTGCTGAATTTGGGGCAGAGGCCCGTGAATTCACTGCCAAAACAGAAATGAACTGACATCTGTTTTCTCTCTTTCTCCCCCCTCCCCATCTCCATTGCAGCGATTGAAACCCAGAGCACCAGCTCTGAGGAGCTCGTCCCGAGCCCGCCGTCTCCACTTCCTCCCCCTCGCGTGTACAAGCCCTGCTTCGTCTGCCAGGACAAGTCATCGGGGTACCACTATGGGGTCAGCGCGTGCGAGGGCTGCAAGGTGAGTTCCCAGGGCTCATTCTCCATGTGCTCCGTGGCTGTGACCTCCCAGCTCCAGAAACGGGCTGCTTTGACCTCTGTACCATCACCTTCCATCAACAAGGTGGCCTCAGTGGCCTTTCACTGTCTCATTCCTTGCTTCTATCTCATTCGTTAAAAATTCAGAAACTTCTGCAGGTGACGGATGGGGGCCCCTGTGTTCTCTGGCCCTTACCATAACACATACCAGCTCCTTTCAGGCAATAAGAGCCTTTTGAAGGAGTTCTGGAAAGCATGCTCCTGGTTCTCTTTAAAACGTGCCGCCGGGTGTCTCTGTAGTTTTATTTTATTTTTAAATATGACTGACAGGCCACTGAATCAACTTGCAGAGAATCCAAGGTTGAAATTGGGATTTATCTCCTGGCTGTTTCCTCAGCCCCGTGGCCTTTGAATTACAGTTTGATTTTCAGCCTGTAGGGACTTGCTACTGTGTGTGTGTGTCATAAATTCAGGGGGACTGGATTTAAAATCCCAGCCTCTCCAGAGTGGTGGAGGCTGAACATGTGTCAGGGAGGATATGGCTGCTTTGAATCAAGCTAGACAATTGTTATCGAATCCAACAGGCTTAATTGAGTGAAAGAGCTTTCTTTTTCTTTTCTTTTTTTTTTTTTTTTTTTGAGAGAGAGAGAGAGAGAGAAAAGAAACAAAGAATGACTTCACAGGCCAATCCAACTCATCTATAGACAGTTTTTCAAAGGAACTATGGCTGTCTTGAAGCCCTTCCCTAGATAGACAGCCTCTTTGTGTTCTCTTTAATGGGTGTTCAGGTCCATGGTTTATATACCTACATTGCATGAGTCATTGGTAATGGTAAACAGGTTGCAGTAATCTCACAGGTGCTCCCATCAAGTGCTTTATGGCACCTTGTATTTGGTTTGTCAGAGCTAGCACTTGTTGTTCCTGTGTGTATTGGTTAGGCACTATTGTGTAACAAACCATCCTCAAACCGAGTGGCTTAAAACAATAACTTTTTATTTAGCCTACAATTCTCTGGGTCAGCACGTTAGGCCAGGCTCCTCTGGGTGCTTTGTCTATCCATGGTGTATCTTTGGTTAGCTGCAGATTGGCAAGTGGGCTGGGGACCCTCCGCTCAGTTCAGCTCTCCTCCATGTGGCCTCTTATTCCCATTGGGCTGGCCCTGGCCATTCACGTAGGCAGGGTTCCAGGAGAGAGAACAGGAGCACACAGGTCTCTGAAGGCCTAGGCTCAGGAGTGGCTCACAGTCACTTCTGACATGTCCCCTTGGCCCAAGCAAGTCATCAGGTCAGTCCATACTCCAGAGGTTGGAACATAAACTCAACTTCTCAATTGGAGGCTCTGCAAAGTCATATTATAAGAGGCAGGAATACAGGAGGCGGAAAACAGGTTATTTTTACATTCACTCTACCACACTGCATGTCTAATGGCCTATTATACACTGTGGATAGGCCTCACTCTATTGCCCAGCATCTCACACACAACCTGTCACACACAACCTGTCACAAACACATAAATGTCACTCAGCCTCTCAATGAAAGTAGGTGTATTTCCCCTTCTTTCAAATCGTTTGAATAAATGTATTATTTTAGAGGGTAAGGCCAGCTAGAGAAAATTCATTAAAGACTTAGGTATATATCTCTAGCTATGGGATTGGTTGAGTTAAAGGAATCCCCTTTCCTTCAGTAGTCTCAGATAGAGGGGTCAGGAAAGGTAACACAGCAACCAGTTGGCAGATGGATATTTGTGTATTTAATTATTGCTTTATTATTTGATAACCTCTAACTGAATTTAAATTTGTCTTGAGGTTTGGGAAGGCTTCAGAATACCAGTTCACTTTGTCTAATATATAAATAATTGGTTGTGCAATATTAAAATCTTCTAGCCCTAGCAGGTTTTTCCCAGTAGGCAGAGCATCAGCTCATGGACCAAAGGGTCCCTGGTTTGATTCCAGTCAAGGGTGTGTACTTCAGTTGTAGACTCCATCCCCGGCCCTGATCAGAACTCATGTGGGAGGCAAACAATCAATGAGTCTCTCTCACATCAATGTTTCTCTCTGTGTGTCTCTCCTGCTCCCTTCTACTATCTCTAAAAATCAATGGAAAAAATATCCTTGGATTAGGATTAACAAAACAACAAAATAACACTCTTCTACTATTCACTTGAAAGTTAAATGAAAAGGCACTCCTTAATTTCAAAAATGTTTAATTCATCTCATGTCCAGAAATCTTATGGAGGGTGTAACTCAGTTTACCTGTTCCCATTATGGCCTGGGAAAGAAATTACCCAGTATGACTCTTCTCATCATGCCAGATTCCAGGCCGTACAGATCAAGCTGGCCCACAATCTTCATGGTACAAACTGTTTTAATCAGCCATTAGCTAATTCCCTGAATCTCTTGTTTTAATTTAGGATTCTGACTCTTTTTAGGAAAACCCCCAATGAAAACAAAATCCATATCAGCACAAACAACTTGGATACACTTGGTTAAGCTGTTCCAAGTCATATTCTGATAAGTCTTTTTAACAGAGCAATAGCCCAGTGAGGACAGATGAGCTTGCCAGTTACTTGTCAAATTTGAGGATTTTTGCCTTGGGGGCGGGTCTCTGAAAACATGGTCTGCCTTTTCCCTGTGGAAAAGCCTGGTCAGTCAGCATTTTTTGCTTGCTGGGAAAAGGCAGTGACAAAATTCACAGAACTGACAAACAGGAGAATGCGAAACTATAATGTAATAACCAAAGGAAAAGAATGATTATCATTTTTTTAAATTACCAATGCAGGGCAGAGTTTATTGTATAAAAAGTACAAAACAAAAAACAGCCATAGTTCCACCCTGGGAGAAATTCCCTACTAATCCTGTTTTTCTATGTGTATTTGATGTTGCTATTTTTGTTTCTTACAAAAAAATAGAATTTTACCTTGCACACTGGTTTTAACCTGGTTTTTAATAATCTTTCATGACTACAATTTAAACTGTATAGTTATTGTTTTTTAATTGATTTCAAAGAGGAAGGGAGAGGGAGAGAGAGATAGAAACATCAACGATAAGAGAGAATCATTGATCAGCTGCCTCCTGCACACCTCTTACGCAGGGGGACGGGGGGGCGGTGAGCCTGCAACCCATGACCAGAATCAAACCTGGGACCCTTTGGTCCGCAGGCCGATACTTTATCCACTGAACCAAACTGGCTAGGGCAAGCTGTATAGTTCTTATGGTTATACAATAAATGTAGTGGTTGATGGTTATACCATAATTTATTTAATCACCTATTGTGCAATTAGGGTGTTTCCAGGGGATTTCTGTTATAACCTAATGCTTTAATGTATAGACTCAAAGTATGTATTTGGTCATTTCATTGAGGTAAGTCAGTACAAGTAGAATTTCTAGGTCATTGGCTTTCTACAATGTTAAGGCTTTTGATACAAAAAATTATCAAAATGCCCTCTAGAAAAGGGATGTAAATTTAAGGTATGTTAATCGGTAAAGGCTAATCTTATTGGAAACTGTCTGTTAGGAATGTCTCCCTTGTGATAATAAGGTAATGAGTCAAGAAACAACTTCTATCTGGAATTCTGCCTATCTTTAATTCGGTTGTTCATAATGGATCCCAGGCTTGGTACCACTTTGAGCTCCCAGCACCTGGGGCCCTGGCAGACCTGTAAGAGCCGGCCTATTCTTTGGTCTCTGCTCTAATGTAGGACTCCCAACAGAACCCAGCTGATTATTTTAAGAAGTAACGGCCGTCTTAAAGAAGTGGCTTCTGCCTTTTGTTACCACGACGAGCTTATTGATTATTGTTTGGGGAAGAGAACATTCTTTCTAGGAAGCAGGTGGCAGTCTCAGCCTCAGGTTTAATGAGCAGGTTCTGGTCCATGGGAATGGCCAGTGGCTGCTTTGTTGACACAACATCACCCTGGCAACATAACCACCGGATGCACCATAGAGATGCCCCGTGTAGGGGGATTTCCAGCTCAGCAATGACAGTTTTTTTGCAGAGGACAAAGACTACATAAAATGAACAGGGAGTGTAGTATATAGTAATAAAGCTGATTTTCATGTAAGACGCTGTTTCATTGCTCATAGCTAGAATCTATGCACAACTTAGGCCTTGGTCATATTTTACATTTTCATTTTTATAGCTTTCAAAGAGACGGGAACCTGAGTGAGAATGCCAGGGTCTGAATCCTGGCCAGCCATGTGCTGGCTATGTGACTTTGGGGAAGCATTTTTAATTTGGTGTCTCTCTCTTGTTTGGAAAAATGAAGATAAAAAAATGCCATGAAGATAACATGAATGACTATGAAGCACATAGAAGAATAATAATACCTGGCACATATGAAGTGGGATATGTGCTTAGATATTATTTGTATTAGCGTTAACGTATAATGACTTTTGCACATGGTGCTGTAACATCACTTACAATCTTAGTACTTGTTCTTGTAATGTTCTTTCAGAAATTCCCATTTCTGTATACCAAAAGGAACACTCTTTCCTTTAAGTCTCAGCTTAAACCCAACCACTCCATGGAACCTCCCCTGATTACCCTAGTAAAGGGGTTGGCGAATTGTTTCTGTAAAGAGCCTGATAGTCAACAGTTTAGGCTCTAAAGGCCATAGGGTTTCTGTTGCAACAACTCTGCTCTACAGCGTGAAAGCAGTCATAGACAATATGTTAAGGAATGGGCATGGCTATGTTCCAATAAAATTTTATTTACAAAAAACAAGCAGTGGGTCACATTTGGTTCTTGGGCCTAGTTTCCTGGCATCTGCTCAAGTATATGATGATATGTCATTTCTTACAGTTTCTAAAACTCATAACTGAGAATGCAAAGCACCCACGCCAAAGGTGGCAGGCCAGCTGGTCCCAGTGGACTGCAGGCCTGGGGCTGCTGCCCTTCCCGCCCCCCACTTGCTTAAGAAGAGTTGTCCATTTGCCCAGGACATCACGGAGGGAGCTTTAAACCACTCTCCCTGTCTGGTATTCCT